AGCTCGATAATGAGTCCCAAGGCAGAACAGGACGAGTGAGGCCCTTTAGCGATGAGTGAGCGTGTATCAACCAGTGTCAATATTGTCGACCTAAAACCGTCTAGACAACGAACCCGTGGTGCAGTGGATTATAGGTAGAATAGAATTAATGTTTAAAGCGTTGGCCATCTAATCAACATGTCGCGCGCTCAGGCCTCGGGTGATTCACCACCTGGGTTTGGATATGCCTGGCTGATGATGGTTAATGTACTCTTATCTTTGCCGGGAATGTCTACCAGTCGCTTTGTGGCTGTTGGCGGAGCTCGAGGATGAGCCCCACGGTGCAACAGAACGAGTATGTATAGTAATGCTATCGGCGGGTACCCCTCTACAATTACTATTTAGCCTGCAACCAAGTCTTTAATTACCGAGAGGTCGCCAGACTTGAGCAGTATATATCGGTGCTAGTGTGGTACCTCGCGCGGCGCAGACGATCATCGCACGAGGGCTCACCGCCGCCAACGAGTGCACATACGTCGGCTTCCTACGCCAGTCTGTCTAGCCAATCAACTCTCAAGGCCAATTCACAAGGAACTCAATGCGGTGACTGTTCTCGGGTCAAGTCGCTCTAGGGTATGGACGAGCGCCTATTCCTACCTATTCTTCATTCCTTCTGTGCAGAATATACTATTTGTAGCACTCCCACCTCCCATGACTTCTATCCTCCTAAGGAACCGGGCCTAAAGATCGCAGTTGCTGGGGCTTAACTTGCTTAACCCCTGCGATAAAAGTCCCGTCTGGTTCGGTTTTCCGGAGTATATGATTCAAAACTTTTTCCACGAGCCGGCACGTGTCAAAAATTTGAATCAACCCAAAGAACGGTAGTCCTAGCTTATGAGAGGGTTTGTGGTTATTAAGCTAGATGGCCTTCGTTTGCACGTTTGGGCATTTCAGTTCTAGAAGAGGAAAACTTCTTCACTGTGACCCATGATAGCTGGACGGATGGCCAAGACGGAAAGATTAAAAACACAAAGTCCTCTCATAACAAACAGGTATTCTGGCATTCCTTTTAAGAAAACACGAAGCTGAAGAGTAGCTGGTTTTGAAAATAGCTTACCTGGGCTCGGAGAGAGTTAATGACGCTTTCAAGGTGGCTTTGCACGTTGGCCGGAAGCATTTGCGCGATCCTTTGTTCCTCTTCCGCCTGTCTTGCCTCATCGACTTCTAACCACTCTCGCTCCCTACGTCGCAGGGTCTCTTCTGCACTGCAGGTTCGAGCCTTTTCTTTCGCCAGAGCGTCACGTAAGTTCTAAGGAAGGTCGCGGGGGAAGGGGAGGGAAGGGAGATAAAGCACAGGTAAGATGCACGGTTAGTCTTCATATCACTGGGACCGAACCCATCGCGTCCTTCTCAGCTAACCCACTTTTTAAATAAACCTGTCGCCATTCGACGGTAATCCTTCTTCTTGAATGGTGAAGTCGACTTGGCGCAGTTAAGGCACAGATCAGGAACTAAAACGCCTGACAAGTGGGTGCGGCTTGTGTGAACTGAAAAGACGGAGGCCTTTAAACGGTCAGTCATGCTACTGTATTTAATGCCAGTTTACAGACAATACAGTTTTAACTCTGCTCGTGTCAGCATCCGTTGCGTAGACTTTGCTCTGTGCAAATGGGGCACCACCAAGATAACAACGATGGGAGGTTCCTGGGTTGGAAACTAATTTCTGATCCGGATTAACAGAAGTAAATAGGCTCTCCGAAATGCAGACAGAGTGTGCTGAGATGGCAAAAATATATGCGGAAGGTGTTTAAAAATCAACTGCGATTCCCTAAAAACGAAGCGATCTCTGGAACTTTTCCAACTAATCACCGTCTTGCATAATGTCTTGAGCCCACGCATTTGTGGAGCCACCATGCTCGCGTAAAAGGATCAGCCAATCAGGGCGCGTTGACGGGACAAAGTCGAGAACCATAAACGCGATGTCCCGGGTTTCCTCTTTGAGCTGTAGAGCAAACTGGTCCTCTTGTTCCATGCTTGTCTTTTTCATAGCTTTACTGGGTAACTTGGTAAAATGGCCCTTTGTGCCTTTTGATCGATTAGTCGTTTTTTTCAAACGATAAAGGAACAAGGTACAACAACATTCTTAAATGGCATTCCCCAGGGATAGCTGCCAATCCGATGTCCCACAACGCGCAGACTAGGGAATACGTGAGAGTGGGAGCCCAACGTTTGCGTATACTCCAGTCTCTCGTGCTAGGACTTGTAAAAGACAATCAATTCTTTTTTTGGAAGAGCAGGTGAGTTAGTTGCACCCGTAGAAGTTATGCAGTGACCCCACTCCGGGCGCATGCTCAACCTCTCGTAGCAGCTAGCAAGTGCGCAAGAACCAGTGCCTGCCTACCCCAAATCCGGTCTGCCCAATCATCTCCCTGTGGCTGACTCACACAAGACCTCGCTGTGGACGCCCTGATGACTCCTGCGCTCTCACATTTCGGACGCCGCCCCCCCCCTCAGGTGGTCTTGTACTCTTTAAACTTGCTCCAGCCTATTTTCCATTACCTCTACAGTACGCACCAGAATTCATGCAACATGCCGACATATGCGAAATATTGATACTCGTTCGCTAATCGGCATTGACTCAGGTTGTGATATTGATTATCGCGTAGTTTATTCTGAAGTTACTTCAGTCATGATAGGATGTGAGCTTTACAATGAGCTTCTTTCCAACCAATAACAACACGTGTGTACTGTAAAAACTAACTACTTGAATAGTGTGCACATCTATCATTGATTTTGACTGCCCTCATAAATTCAAATAAATTTTGCAGAAAACGCAAACGAAAAAATTTCTTCTTATACTTGTTTGGTAGTAAATTGCGCATTCTTTAAATTTTATACTTAAAGAAAGGGTATCTTTCGTTTTTAAAAAAATTTATAGGTATGAACTTTTTTACGTGTGAGGTGTTTATTCATAATACATCGTATTCGTCAATTTATTAAGGCTGTCTATACTGTATAAAGCATGTTCCAAACTTATTGCAATATTTTGTGAGAACTACGCGACTTCTTCCTCAAACTATAGGTGATAACGTACTTTTCCTTAAACAGGATGCACACAGTGCGCAGTTTGTAAACCCTGAATTCGAGTGTAGCAGTCAGTAGGTTTCAAAATTATTAGGCAATTTAGAAACTTTTTTTAAACCGAAAGATACCCTTTCTTTAAGTATAATAATTAAAGAAGGCGTAATTTGCTACCAAAAGAGTATAAAAAATTAATTTTTTTCGTGCATGTTTTGCATAAAATATATTTGAATTTACTAGGGCAGTCTACATCAAGGATAAATACGCACACTATTCAAGTAATTAGTTTTTACCGTACACAAGTTTTGTTATTGGTTAGAACGAAGCTCATTATACAGCTCGAATCCTATCATGACTGAAATAACTTCAGAATAGACTACACGATAATCAATATCACAACTTGAATCAATGCCTATTAGCGGAAGAATATCAATCTTTCGCATATGTTGGCATGTTGCAGGAATTCTGGCGCGTACTGTATACAGAATACACTTTTCTTTCCAACTGGTCTCCCACTCCTTCTCTTCCCACACGTAACCGGGCCTGAAAATCGCGGTGGCAAGTGTTTTCCCCATTAACTTAAGCCACTGCGGCAGTCAATACGGGCAGAATGTAAGTTAATCGAACACCCGTCCAAAAAGCAAATTCAACGTAACCACGCCCACCGTCTTGAACGATATTTATGTCATCTCAAACGACAGGCAAACCAACAACAAAACGTCCGCCACCAGCAGGTGCAAAGTTCGAATTAAAAATTCAACTTGATTTGTAGTCTGCTGTTGTCAGGCGGAACGAATAACTCAACTCTTTATCAGACACAACAATGAATGGCAGTCAGTGTTGTTGCCTAAGGCGTTGCCAGGCGTAATTTGCTATCAAACGAGTAGAAATAGAAATAATTTTATGGATGCTTTCTATAGGTTGCATTTGAAATTTATAAGGCCCGTGAAAATCAATGAGATAAACGCATATTAGATAAGAAGCCATTTTTTAAAGTATAGACTTTTTGTAAGCAGTCAGAAAGAGGCTCCTTAAAAAGCCGGCACCCTGGTGTGACTGGAATGACTGAACGACAGTCGGTATTTCACCCCTACTTCATGCCCTTTTACGAGTGATTATCAAATATTCATAAATTTCGGCATTTTGCATGAAACACCGACCCTACTGTACGTTTTGCGAACGACATATGTCTGAAACTGTGGACATATGTGCTCTGCTTTCAGGCGTCATTAAGTTCTACACTCTGTCATCGGCCACAATTCCGTCCTTTTACCTGTCTTACCTGCTCGACCTAAACTTGGGCTATTCACGCGTAACGCTTGATTGCTACCCGTTAGCGCAAACATTTCCATCGTTGGAGATGTCATACAATTTTTTTGCAAATGGCTTGCTGCTATGCCGTGGACAGCATGAAGAACTCTTGGGATATTTTTTATTTCACTGTTTGTGTACAGGCGACCAACACCGAATTAAAAAGCCGATTAGGCTGCGTCTAGTCGTCGTAGCTCAACTCGGTACAGCGTTGGCCTCGCGTAAAGGCCCTCCCTGCCGTGCGGTTTCGACTCCCGCCGATGCAGCGAGTTTTTATGCAATTGGGTCAACTAAATGTTAAGAGATCAAAGGGCAGGGGGAGGAGGGATGAGTCCTACAATAAGGTCATGTCACCCAGTCGTCTCGTCGTCGCTTCATGGCGTCTGGATACCAGTTGTCACTGTCTCATCCCCGTCTCGTGGCATGAAAGGAAGTCTGCGGACGGATGTTGAGTTGGTCTTCGGCCACAGGAGTCTTAGGGCTGCTACAAACGTCTTCTGCGCACATAAGATCGGATTAGTAAGACGTATGGCGACTGCCTCTGCCGTCGCAAGTATCCGCTGACGCGGGAACTTGGAATGTTACGCCGGCACTTTATACAAAACTCGAAACGCTTGGTTTACTTCTATCTGATGACCACTGTTAGCCATGCGAGCCACAATCGCGCTAGATATTGACTTTACATCGCCTCTGTTTAGCCAGGTAGGATGGTGTTCTAGCATGCGCCTGGATAGCCGTCTAGTTGTTCGACAAATATAATCTGCCCCACAGGAGCATGTAAAAGTGTAGATACCCATTGAAGAGGCCTGGAACGGAAGTGGAGTGCTTTGTGATAGTAATCATCCTAATCTTAACTTAGCTGCTGAATACGTACGCACGAATACAGCGTTCAGGCGAAGCTGTGGAATTTCGCTTGCTTGATCCCCTTGAAGAGCCAATGTAAGGAATAAG